CTGGCTTCGGATCAGCGCAGCTCTGGCTGTTGCGGCCAATTGGGGAGTGAACCATTGGATAGAAGACCTCACTCTCTCTCTCTGCCTCTCCTCTCTTTGTATAACTGTGACTTTCAAATAAATAAATAAATCTTAAAAAAAAAAAAAAAAAGAAAGAGAGAGAGGGTGAGGAAGAGCAAGGGAGAGGGAGAGAGGAATCTTTCATTCCATCTGCTGGTTCACTCCCCAAATGGCTGCAAAGGCCAGGGCTGGGCCAGGCAGAAACCAAAAGCCTGTAATTCTAACTGGGTCTCCCACGTGGGTGCAGGGGCCCAAGCACTTGGGCCATCTTCCGCTGCTTTCCCAGGTGCACTAGCAGGAAACTGGATTGCAAGTGGAGCAGTTGAAAGGGAATGAGAGAGAGAGAGAGAGAGAGAGAGAGTGCTCCCAGCTGCTGGTTCATTCCCCAAATACCTCCAACAGCCAGGGCTGGACTAGACTTAAGACAGGAGCCTAGAACTCAATCTGGGTCTCCTACATGGACAGCAGGAACACAACCACCTGAGCCTGGGCCATCATTTACTGCTTCCCAGGAGTAAGCATTAACAGGAAGTTGGTTTGGAAGCAGAGGAGCCAGGTTTTAAACTAGACCCTCTGATATGGGATGCAAACACCCACAGTGGTGGCTTAAGCCCTAATTCCCCAGAATTTTTATTTAGGCACACACCTGGACAGTTATATGCACTGAAAAACACACAAAAATAGGACCCATGTTCTTCACCAGGCTGTGCACCTTGCACTTTCATTAATATACTTTGGAGAGCTTTTGAAAATTTAGGCATGGATTTTTCATAATACACATAACAGTTCTTATCTCATGAGATTTGGGGGTGAGAATTCTATGAGATCATATATAGGACGTGCTTTGCACAATATCAGGTATGTAGCATGTGTCCCATGGCTCTTTGCTCTTCTAACAAGTGAGCAACAAGAGACCCAGTCCCGGTTCTCACGGACCATGGAGGATAGTGGGTGGCTGAGCTGGAGAAGAAGGGTTGGTTATGGAAATGAGCAGTCAGGCATTGGATGAGTCATCCAGGCGGATATTGGCTCCACCCAACATGGCACCGTCCGGTAGATTGTGAATGAGATGGGTAGGCCATGGACCCAAGAGTGAAGTATAAGGAAGAAGGAGGAGGGAAAACTGGAGGAACAGCTTAGAGACTTGGGGTTTATTAATAAGATGGTCAGGCAGGGGCAATGGTGGGCAAAGTGGAGACTAATCCACTTGTAGCCGGAGCTGGGAGGAGTCGGGGGAAGTTCCCTTCAGATGAGATCTCCCAGGGAGGATTCTGTGGGAGGCTCCTGGGGAAGTCAGGATCTAGTTCCCAGGGAGGCAGCCTCCCAGGGAGGCTGGTCTGAGAGTAAAAGGAGAAGTGTGAGAAGTTAGCCAAGGAAGCTCAAGAATGGGACCGATTAGCTACAGCCAGAGGCCAAGAAGCATTCCAGAGGCCTGGGAGGGGAGGGGGATGCAACAGGAAGGGACTCGAGGTTCCAGCTCAGCCTCACTTTAGTAACCTAGGATGGAAGTGCTGAAGCAGCTCCATTGTAGCAGGTGGCTTTTTTCTCTTATTTTCTGGACTAAGTACCTTGAACTTCTGCAGAGCTTCAGATGTTTGAGGCTCCTAGAATCCTCAGGATTCACTCTTTCTGCCAGCTGCCTGTGTCTGATGTTCCCAGGGGAGTGGTGTTGTGGGGGTCAGCTGGCTGTGTGATCCCTGGCTCCCCTCCTGCTTCTGAGCCCTCCTAGGTTTCATGTGTGCCCCACTTTGCATTATAGTCAGACTCCCAGGGCTCCCCGGTGTCAGAGTGGGCTGACTGGCACAGGCCCTTTGGCTAATGTCAACATCAAGGGTTCAGAATGAAAAAGGATTTCTTGGCCCAGAGACCAAATGCAACATGGTAGGAAGCTTGCTGTCATGGGGAAAGGGGCTGCCTCGGTTTCCCACCAACAGTTAGAAGAAATAAAGCCTTAGGTATTTGTGGAAGTTGCAGGCGAGTGGTCTGCAGGCGGCTCTGTGGCATCCAGGGACCAGCAAAGGCGAGCAGCTGTGCAGTCCGTGGCATAGTGGGTAAAGCAGCCGCTGGGGCACTGACATCCCATACGGGCGCCGGTTTGAGTCCCAGCTGCTCCACCTCCATCCGATTCTCTGGATGGCCCAACTCCTTGGGCCCCTGCACCCATGTGGGAGACCCAGAAGGAGCTCCTGGCTTTGTTGTGGCCAATTGGGGAGTAAACCCAATTCCAGCGGATGGAAGACCTCTCTGTCTCCCCTCTTCTCTCTGTGATTGGAAGTCAGACAACAGGACGTGAGGGATGAGGAAGTGGCTCCAGCTCCTGTTGCCCGCCCCCTCCTCCCCGTGTCGGCTTAACTAAGTCACCCTTCCTTCAGGAAATGCACTTATTAACGACTTTCACGTATTCTGTCCTATGTCATAGGGCTGCTCTCACCTCTGACTCTAAACACTGGATTCTCCAACGATGATCTGGACTTCTTGCATTCTTTCCTCACGTCCTTTTTCATCTCTGCTTGTCTCACAGCTCCTTGACTTCTCATCTTATTCTGATTTCTTGCTGCATCAAGGCCAGACTCTCACATCTTCCCGAAAACAAAAGGATGTTTTCTAAAATCTTCCTTCCGTTATTCTAGAAGCATCGCTTTAGAGTTTGGCTCATTTTTCACACCTCGGTGGCGTTTCTGGTCTTTGCTGCTACAGGAGTTTTCCCCAGGTCTCGTGCTCGGTTGTTGGGTTTTGCATGTATACATATATGCTTACACATATCTGAATGGCTTATTTATATGATAATGCGGCATTTGTGGGGTCATTCATTAACTTAGGTACTGACTTTTCCATAATCGATATTTGTTCTCCTATGGCATACAAGGTATTTTTTAAAAAATAAATTATTTAAGGATTCATCTTCAAAGAGCTTCCAATTTCTTTGAAGAAGTGAGATAGGTGTACTAACTATGGTGCATGCAGAAGGCCAGATAGGAGACTTAGGTAGTTATGGTGATTTCCACTTGTGGGTTTTTCCATAGATGATGGGAGACAAAACACAGTGTCTGGATAGAAAGGATTGACACTGGACAGGACGAGGTTGGTTCAAAGCGGCAGCCATGCAAAGTTAAGAGCACTGAGGCTGGGGTCCTGGCTTTGGGTCAGCCCAGCTCTGGCCGTTGCAGCCATATGGAGAGTAAACCAGCAAATGGAAGACCCCCCCCCCCTTTCTCTCTGCCTCTGCCTCTCTGTAACTCTGCCTTTCAAATAAATAAATATTTTTTAAAATGACCAAATGGCAATGGAAAACAAATGCAATCTTTTCTTTGTTGTTGACTAATTTCCCAAAATATTTTATTTTTCATGATGAAAACGTGTCACTGTTTATCTTTATTTCACACTGCACTGGCATAGCTGAGTTAATCAATCATCATAATTATATGATCTAATGAAAAGGCAATTTAACATAGGGAGCTTGTATTCTAAGCACCATTTTTTTCCTGCTTATTTTTTAAGTATATCAAATGCTTTTTAAGTTTACCTTTTTAAAAAACAAGGATAAATATTATTTTGACTGTGAATAGCTCAGAAGGTGACTAACAGTAATTTTAAATTTATCGAATTAAACTGTGATGGAATTAGATAAGGATATGTGTGTGACTTCCAAATCCCTTAGAGGGAGTGTCCACCCTACAGATCCCTTTAGGGATGTGTGCTGTAATGGAGGCAAAGAGTCGCTAGGTGGCTCTGCATTTTCAAATAAAACCGAAGTCTGAAAAAGAGGATGAGTGCCGTCATTAAGGAACCCTACCATGTAGTAACTTTAATCAAAACATGAAATAATAATCAGCAATCATGGCCTCCCATTCAGAATAATTGGAAGTTATTGGGTCAAGAATTAAGACGCTACACAAAAACTGCAAAACTGCGAAGTATGTGTGGGTAAGTCATTTGCTAAAAGAATTATATTTTTAAAGACATCAATTCCTAAAAAGACGGTTTCAAACTTTTTGTAATTTATTGCCATTTGGGTTTCCCACTTAGGATTTTCTCTTTTGAGTGTAGACCTTTAGATATAAAAACAAATATTAAATTATAGCATCATTAAAAATTGGGTTCAAACTCCCTGCGTCATAGCCGTCATCCTTAGTAACAGCCCATGAGAAACCTCAAAACAAAACCACTCTTTGCTTTGAGCTCTTGGAGAAGAAAATGATTAATAATAATAAGCACCATGCTTATCTAAATTAAGGAACCATTTAGATCCCTAAACACACATGCAAGTAGGACAAACAGCATTGGCCAGGAGGCGGACAGAATGTGGCTTAGAGCTGACATTAGCGTTCCAGGACATACAAGTAGTCACATTTGAAGTGTGACTTGCATTTTAGGTACTGAAATTTGCGAGTTAAATATGCCTGGCTTTCATTTTTTTAACCGATGAGATACTGGAAGAAAATCGTTTCCCTCCAAGAACACAACAAACTTTATCGTCGAAAGAAATGCGGCACTGCGGGACAGGAGAAAATTCAGAATTATTAAATATTCTGAACTGCCAGTTTGCAATTGGCAACTAGTCATTTTCTAAAAAAGCCGCCTTGAGAAATTTAGACTTATCACTAATTATTAAGAACGCAGCTAGGAATATTTTCAATTGTAAAATAAATTATTTCCTTATTATTGTTTTTGAGCCAATATGTAGTGATTGCGCGGCAAGTGGAGTCGCCGTTGAATTTTAGGGGTTGCTTTGTTCAGGAGGAGAGCCGCATTTGAAGACTTCAGAGGACAAGTCGTAGACCGTACTTACAGGAGATAGGTTTTTTTTTTTTTTTTTTTTTTTCTGTAAATGACAGCTTCTTGCGCCGTCTAAAAGACTTTAAACTTTCGGCTTTAAAATGCTAATTCCAAAGTCACTCCCTTACAAGTCTTTGTAATCGTTCACCGTTCTGTCTCTGAAGGCGTCACATCACAGCAAGACCGTACACAGCGATTGGGAACGAACAAACAGCTTGGTTAGAAAAAAATTAAACGCCAATTTCGGCTTCTCCGTTCAGTTGGGCAGAGACTCCGAGAAGCAGGGGGCATCCAAAGAGACCGGTCCTACCCTAGCAGAACATCCGACCGGGAGCCGGCCCGTCCAGACCCAGCGCGAATCTCGCAAGGGGACCCCAAAAGGTTCAGAGGCTTGGGGAGGAGAACCCAGAGAGGCGCTGGGCAGGCGGCCTCGGCAGGTGGCCTGGGCGGCCACCCAAAGTTAACTCGCGGGCTTTTTCGAAGACGCTTGTGCGGTCTGGTTTATCTTGTCTTCTCTTTAATAAAAGTTTCATCCGTGCGTTAAGAGTACGTGGGCTAGGAACAGAGAGTTTTGCCCCCCTTCTACCTGGGGGCGGCCAGCCGTCCCCAAGCCCCCGGAGCCGAATCCCGGACTCCCTGGCCCGGCGAGAGGGCGCTGCAGCGGCTGCAGGGGCTGCGGGAGCCGGGCAGGGAAGCGCCGGGATTTGGGCACGCTCGGAGCCGGTGCGCGGCAGGAGGGCGTGGCGGGGGCGTGGAGAGCCCGGGAGCGCCGGCCACCGCCCAGCCCTGGCCCGTCCGGGAGGGAGCGCTTGGCGCGCGGTTATAAAAAGCCGAGTCGCAGGCGCTCGCGATCACCTGCCCGAGCCCGGTCTGCGGGGCCGTGCGCCGAGCCAGGGCTGAGGAGGGGCCGCAGGGTTGGCCCCCAAAGGGATGCTCTCGTCCGAGCGGCGAGACCAGCCCCGCTCGCCCCTGGCTGCCGCCGCGCCGCACCCGCCCGCCGACATGGCCCTCTACTGCGGGGACAACTTCGGCGTATACTCGCAGCCCAGCCTGCCCTCGGCCGCGGCCACCACCGTCCCGGGCGCGCCCCCGGCCGCCAGGACGCCCTACGGGCTGGCCGACTACACCGCGCCGCCGGCCGCCGCCGCCAACCCCTACCTGTGGCTCAACGGCCCGGGTGTGGGCGGCTCGCCCTCCGCCACGGCCGCCGCGTACCTGGGCGCCCCGCCGCCTCCACCACCGCCACCGCCCCCCGGCGCCGCGGCCGGGCCCTTCCTGCAGCCCGCGGCCGCCACCGGCTCCTTCGGCTGCGCGCAGCGGCCTTTCGCGCAGCCGGCGCCCGCCGCACCCGCCTCTCCCGCGGGGCCCGCCGCCCCGGCAGATCTGGGCTGGCTGACCGGAGCCAGCCGCGAGGACTTGATGAAGATGGTGCGACCTCCCTACTCGTACTCGGCGCTGATCGCCATGGCCATCCAGAGCGCGCCCGAGCGCAAGCTCACGCTCAGCCACATCTACCAGTTCGTAGCCGACAGCTTCCCCTTCTACCAGCGCAGCAAGGCCGGCTGGCAGAACTCCATCCGCCACAACCTGTCGCTCAACGACTGCTTCAAGAAGGTGCCCCGCGACGAGGACGACCCAGGTGAGCGCGGCCGGGCAGGTGCTTCCCGGCGGCGGCGGGCGGGGGGCTCTCTGCGCGTGGCTGGCCCAAAGGTCTACGAGGAGTTTTCTTGGCCCTGGGAGTGGGAGCAGGTGGAGGAAGATGGGAAGCAAGTGGAGACCGCTGCGGTCTCCGATGATGGAGCGAGAGGATCCAGAGGACCAGGTTGGGGGGGATCCGAGCTTTGAAGGGAGCACCCGCAGTTAGTGTGGCTGCTGGCCGGTTCGAGAAAGAAGGACAGGCCCTGGCCGCGGACAGGACGCTACCCCCGGGCGCAGTTCTTCGGGCCATTTGAAGGGAGGGTTTGGTGATAAAGAAGTAGCTGAGGAGTAGGAACGCCGCGCCCTCGAGTAAGTGGTGATTAGGCAAAGATGCAGGTGGGGCGAAAATCCCATCAGGCCCCTCGGAAGCGGCCGGGAGAGCCGAGCGCACCGCCGGAGGCTCGGGCCGTCCAGGGGTGCACTTCTCTCTGCGCCCGCGTAGCGAGGTGATTTGAGACAGCAGCCCCGGCGTCGAGAGCTGGGACGGAGGTGGGAGACCAGGAGTAGGGCCGCGCTAGCCCGGCTCCAGAGAGCAGCCTGGAAGCAGACAGGCCTGCTTGGTTGTCTCAACGACCCTGAGAGAAGGCAAGGGGAGGCGACTTTGGTAGGCAAAGGAGAAGAGGAAGAAATCCGTGGTAGCGCGCCGCAGAGATGCAGGGTTTTGTGTAAATGATGTATGGTTCTGAGGCTCAGAATACCCTCCTTCCTGAAGTCCTCACTCTGGAGGGCTTTCCAGAACCAGCTCAGGGCAAACCACCTGTGCCTGTAAATGCCCTCAACCGGACTCAAAAGTGAAACACCGGTGACATTATTCTTCCTAATATTAAATAATTCAAAACATTGTCTCTACATAGAACATGTTTAAAAGTTATTAGCGAGGTTGGTGGTTTTTTTATGTTATTTCTTGTTACTGAATCTCCAAAATCCAGTATTTTATACCACTTCTCAATGAAGGCCTACCATATTTCAAATGCCCAATGCCTACATGGGGCTACTGGTTACTGTATTGGATAAGCCTTGTAGTTCTAGAAGATTAACTTTCCTGGTTTGGTCTCTGAATCACCTAAGATTATCATGTAAATTGTCACAAACTGCTATGAACTTAAAATAAGTTCAAGGTCAAAGGTCTCTTGTCAAAACTTTTGGTACTGGGGCCGGAGCTGTGACATAGCAGATAAATCTGCCACCTATAGTGCCAGCATCCTATCTGGGCGATGGTTCAAGTCCCGGCTGCTCCACTTGCGATCCAGCTCTCTGCTATGGCCTGGGAAAGCAGTAGAAGAGGGCCCAAGTCCTTGGGCACCCCCACACCCATGTTGGAGACCTGGAGGAAGCTTCTGGCTTTGGATTGGCACAGCTCTGGCCATTGCAGCCACCTGGGGTGTGAACCAGCAGGTGGAAGACCTCTCTCTTTCTGCCTCTGCCTCTTTGTAACTTTGCCTTTCAAATAAATAAATTAAAAAAAAAAAAAAACTTTTGGTTTCAAGGTGGCACAATATAAACATATAGTTAAATGCAAGTTATTAAACAGTAAAGTTTTATACAACAGTTTTGCAGAAGATGTATCGGGGAGCTAGTGAGTGCAGGGGAGTGCGTGCTAGGGTGTGGAGACTGTTTAACACGACAGTTAGTAAACACTGCTGGATCTGGAACCAGCCTGATGAAATCCTGGCTCTACCATGGCTTCCTGGGGATGGCAAGTTACTACGCAATCTGCACCTCAGTCTTCCCATCTGAAAAGGGGGGGCGGGGGGGCAGGACTATTGCCTATTCCCGTAGAGCTGAGCAGAGTAACGGAGGTGAGCTGTGTAACGCACTCGCTACAAGGCAAGTGCTTAACAATACTTTAAACATCAGAAGGTTTTTTTTTTGGCAGAAGTGGAAAAAGCTATGAGGAGATAAAATCCTCCAGGATGATTATATACTTAAAACTGTATGTATGAGATGCATGAAATTTGTTCCATTTATATAAATTTTAAAAAATCCTCCAAGATGATCTTTTCTGCCTCCATTTGGTAGGTGGGGAGACTTTCTAGGCCAAGCACTGTCCTTGCATGCCTTCAGGGACTCCTGGTCTCTGATATGTGCCCAGTGGACAGGAAGGTTGGAAGATCTGCAGCAGCACGCTCTGCCTGGAATGAGGGGAGGATGTGGACTTGGAGCTTCCTTGTTCTCCAAATGTGCCATCTCGTGCATTCTTCAAATAATTGATTGTTCAGTAATAATTGTTGTCATTTCAGAGTTAACATTTTTTCCAGTGGGGTCTCCCCCCCCCCCAGGAATATGGAGTTTGTACACTTCCAGCAAATAATAATTATAATAAATACTATTTTTTTCACTGCTTATTGTGTGCCAGATACAGTATTTAATTAAACAGTATTTAATCCTCCCAGTGAACCTACTACGTGGGTACTATTCTTATCCCTATTATGTATAAAGAAACGAAGGCTTAAACGAAGTTTAAGTAACTCCAGAATTCCGTGATTTGGAGAGATTGCACAGTTGGTATAGAGTAAGATTTATTTCTTTATTAGAAAGGCAGAGGCAGAGAGGTCTTCATCTGCTGGTTCACTCCCCAGATGGCCACAACGGCCGGAGCTGTGCCGATCTGAAGCCAGGAGTCAGGAGCTTCCTCCGGGCCTCCCACGGGTGCAGGGGCCCAAGGACCTGGGCCATCTTCTACTGCTATCCTAGGCCACAGCAGAGAGCTGGATCGGAAGAGGAGCAGCTGGGACTAGAACCGGTGCCCATATGGGATGCCGGCGCTGCAGGTGGAGGATTAACCTGTGCCAGTGTCCCCCAAGAGAGGATCAAAAACAGTAGAGTGCAGTGAGCATCTGTCAGCAGCATTTACAGTGTGTGCCATCCCCCTTCCCGACTCGGCTGAGTAATCTCTCCTCATCCAAGGTTTCAGCTACCCACGGAAAATACGACATGGAAAATTCCAGAAACAGAGACCACATTCACATAACTTTCACAGCACTGTTGTAACTGTTCTGTTGTGAATTTCTTATTGTGGGTACTTTATGAATTAAACTATCGTAACTATGTATGTTTAGGAGAAACTGTGTGTATACAGTTCGGGTTCTCTGCCCCTTTAGGCATCCAGCGGGGGGTCGTGGAATGTACCCCCCCTACGGATAAAGGGGGGCTGCTGTACACAGGCACAGAAACGGGTCCTTCTCTAACTCGTCTTTCTCACCTCCTCAGGGAAAGGTAATTACTGGACTCTGGACCCAAACTGTGAGAAAATGTTCGACAACGGCAACTTCCGCCGGAAGCGGAAGCGCCGCTCTGAAGCCAGCAACGCCTCTACCGTGGCTGCAGGGACAGCAAAATCAGAAGAGGGGCTCTCCTCCGGATCCGGGGCCGGCGTGGGCGGGAAGGCCGAGGGGGACAGCCCCTCTCTGTTGAGGCCCTCCCAGTCCCCGGAGCCTCCCGAGGGCACCAAGAGTACTGCCTCGTCCCCCGGGGGGGCCATGCTCACCTCCACGCCATGCCTCAACACTTTCTTCAGCAGCCTCAGCACCCTGAGCGTCGGCAGCAGCGGGAGCACGCCGCGCGCCGTGCCGGGCGGCCGCCACCTGGGCCTGCAGGGCGCCCAGCTGGCCCCTGGCGGCCCCTTCCCCGCCACCTCCATCTCCGAGGCCTCGCCTGATGCTTTGCAGCTGAGCGGCGGCGGCAGCAGCAGCGGCGGCCAGCGGCCCTCCTACTACAGCCCCTTCCCTGGCGGCAGCGGCGGAGGCCAGAGCAGCCCGTTCAGCAGTCCCTTCTACAACTTCAGCATGGTCAACAGCCTCATCTACCCGCGCGAGGGCTCCGAGGTGTAGGGCAGTGCCTCTGAGACTCTGCTAGGCGCGCCTGAGACTGGAGAGAACGCAGGGGCCAAGCCAGCAGCTCTGGGCTAGAGCCCACGTGGGTCCTGCAGCCCTGGCAAGCTCCTGGGGTGGTTGTGCGGCCGGTTGGCTGTGCTGGGAGTGACATGGGGTATGATCCATAACTTCCCGTAGCCCTGCGAGCTGCTTCTACAGGTTTCTCTGGATACCGCCCTGTGTTCTGTGAGCCCTGTGAGGGCAAGCGACCATGTCTCGTTCATCACTCACTGCATGCCAGGGTTGCGTATGTGTGCAGGGGACTTAAAAACGTTAGCCCGTAAAGTAAAGCTGTGGGGCGGGGGACCGCGGAATCCAACAGCAGCCGGCAGCTGAGGCAGTCGAGGGTTTGGGGCTGGCGCGCTCTGATTTCTCTAGGAAAGCCAGCTGTCTGGGATTTTAATAGGAAACCCCAGCTTTGTGTCCTTTGTCTCAATTCAGTTTTGCTCCTACTGTCCTAGGACCAGTTCACAGGTCACCTCTGCTCATTCCTGGCGTCTGGTACAAGGTCAATACTAATAGTGCAGCCGGAAGCCACCCTGTCTGCCAAGCAGCGCTGTAGACACTTGACAGGTGTCAACCCACTAAACAGCAGCCTTGGGAGTCGGGGGTGATGGCGCCCCCTCATTTTCTACCCCAGGGAAGTGAAACCCTGAGATGTTAGATAAACTGGCCTGGGGTCACACAGGAAGCTGGCGGCAAGATGGGATGCAGGCAGTCTGGCTTCAGAGGCAGCAGCTCGGAACCTGTGTGTTCTAGTTCCAGAAGAACAAGCCAGCTTCCTCAGGCAGGCACAAGTGTTGAAGGGGTAGGAATGGAGCACAGCTCTCCTTGGACCACGGATTCTGGTTGAAATCAACATCCCGAGCCATAGGCAGCCCCTGTAAGAACTGCTGGGGCTGGGGTGGCCACTGCCTGCTTCCCATCTCAGCCTGCCATCCTCGCCCTCCCAGCTTGTGTCCTGGATATTTCATCTTCCGACCAAGTATTATCAGAGTTTTATTAACAAACAGCTTTTAAGTGGGATTTTTAGTTTTTAATGCAGTAAACCATCTGATCAAATTTGTGAAGAATATATATGGTGTTATTTATTTTAGCATTCCCTTTTACTCCTCAGAGCTGTCTTCAAATTGTTTTTATAGTCACCTCCCAGTGTCCCGACAGAGTACCTGGGACCCGGGACCCGCTCAGCCACTGGTGGGTGACACCTTAGGGTCTGTTAGGATGCAGATGAATTTCTGGGGACATTAAGATTAGTCTTTTGAGTTGCCTTTCCTAACATGTGTCTGAGTCGCTGTGAGCGTTGCTAGTTCAGGGTTTAAGTTTTTTTAGAAACAGGAACTCAAGTACATTGTAAAAGTTACTTTAACTCTTCCCCGTGAATGATTTTTGGAGATTCACAGCATTATTTTTTAAAAATGCTTTATTTTGAAATATACAGGAAATTATTTTTTTAAACAGCTTTTTGAGGTGCAAATGATATCACATTACTGGTATGCAGAAAAATGACCAAAGAAATGACCATACTATGTGTAAAAAATTGGTTTCTATGGATATTTTTGTATGTGAAAAATCATGTGGACTTTTATAAATATTGTTTCTAGCAATTCTATATTTGTAAATTAATTTATAATGTGAATGGGGCAGTAAAGGTGTTTTGTTATTATTTCTGAAGAAAGTGTACTGCATGCTAAGAAGAATCATGTGAAATAAATTTTAAATGGGACAACTCCTGGCCACTTAGGAGTAGGGATCGGAGGGTGGGCCCGGAGTCACTGATTGTCACTGCATTTGTCCGCATCTGAAAGGGCTGAGGCAGCTGTGTATCACAGAAAGCTTAGCAGAACCCCTGCACCCCCACCCACCCAGCTCAGTCGGAACCCAAAGGATCCGCGGTCATTGCCCAAAGTCCCCTGGGTGGAGTGACAGATCAGCTCCAACTCTGGTTGAGAACCACTTCAACACCACATTTGCCATGGAAGAGACACCCACACCCGGCCAAGCCCTAAACCCTAGGGCAAGTAGTTGAATGAGTCGGACTCAGGGCTTCTTTCATCCTCTAGAAAGGTCTGAGAGCAGCAGCAGGGGTCTTGGGTGTGCCCCAGACTGAGGTCTCCTGGTTTGGGCCTGTCATGTGCCACATAGAGGCTGATGGTATTTTCATTCCTAATGATAGGTTTTTTTAGGGTTGATTTCTTGCCATCCAGTTTTTCATGTATTTGTTTATTTTCATTCTACTTGAAAGGCAGAGAGAGACAGATCTTCCAGCCATTTGTTTGCTTCCCAAATGCCCATAAACGCAGGACTGACCCAGCTCAGGAGCCTAGAATTCCATCCGGGTCGCCCATGTGGGTGGCAGGGGCTTAAGTTCTTGAGCCATTGCCACCTCCTGGGGTGCCCCTAAGCAGGATCAGAAGCAGAGTAGCTGGGGCCCAGGGATTGTGATATGGGATTTGCTGACCAAATTTGGGGGAGGGGGCAGGTCACAGGCATGAGGGCTTCTTGGGAAGAAACAATGTGATTTAAATAAGTCCATTGAAAATGTGAGTTTCTGGACCTGGGTAGGTGGTAGATGTTAAATGGCAGAATGATGCCATTTATGAAGACAAGGACAAAGAAGACTGCATCCGAGCACAAGGGCCAGTGGCTGGCTGAGTCCCCACTCCCAGCACTGAGAGCCGGGTTAAGGCCTCGCTCCATCAGGGCGCTGAGGCCTTGGCTCCCAGGAAAAGGGCCAAAGGTGCCAGCGCCCCTGCGGCTTCCAGGTCAAAGTGCACACGAGCGCTGCATTGGCACCAGCTTCCGGCCCCAGGACAGACAGCTTCTGCCTGGGAACGAGGTTAGAAGTTCTGAAGGGAAAGGGGTGGCCCCGCAGCACGCAGCCAGGGGCCCTTCCCTCCGGGGTCTCCCTGGGGACCCACATCAAGTGGCAGCCAAGGCTGAGGCCTGCTAGGCACATCTAGAGAAGTTTCTAAACGGACACCTGGTGTCCCCATCAGAGAAAGGGCCGGAGAGTTTGTCATCAGCAGGTGTCAGGTGCCTTCCTCACACTTGTCAGATCCTTCATCTCCTTCTTGAATTTACTGGAAAGAGGCAGCAGGCAGCCCAGAGGCTTGGAAGACCACGTGCCTGTGCCCCCTCCCCTCCCTGCAGCCCCGCACCCCCGCTGACACCCACACCCGGGCAGGCCCAGGGCGCTCACCAGCCCTCCCAGGGCAAAGTGGGCCAAGTTCTGACAGCAAAGGACCATCCCTGAACCTCAGAGCCGCTTCCCTTCGACCCTGAGACTTCCTGAGACTTGGAAGGATCCTTGTCTTCAGGGCCTAATTGGTTTTTGTTTTCTTTAGCGGCTCTGCTAGCTAAAACCTTGAGGTTGTTAATGAACAAGAAACCCCCCCTGGTTCTTTCCTGGGGCAGGAGAATTAGTGGCTTCGGGACTAGAGACCCTAGGCCGCCAGGTCTTTGTCATGGAAAGCTGTCAGCTGGGCTGTGTGGCCAGGCGGCTGCGACCTCTGAAAAAAGAAGGCATTTCCTGTCAGATCTGAAAACAAAAAAGGCCCAGAGACCAGAGACCTCCTGAATTCCTTCCTACATTTTTATTCATGATGTCAGGGGATCACCCACACCCTGGGAGGCAGGGAGCGCAGCCCCTTTATCATTTTAAAAAAGATAAACATTATAATAATAATAACTCCCTCACTGGGTGCGGGCACTGTCCTAAAATCCATAGGCTAAATATCACAAGGCTCCAGCCTCAGCCAAGTCGGTGACTGTCGCTACCTGGTTCACCGGAACCCAAAGGCCACAGTCACAGCTCTGAGTAAAACCTGCACTCAACGCTGGGCCGTCTGATGTCACGGCCCGTCTGTCTTCCACCAACTAGGCTGCCTCTCCAAAGAGGAGAAAGGGGAGAGGCCCAGAGAAGGAAAGTGGCTTACCCAAGGCCACACAGCCAGTTGGCTGCAGACTTGGGCCTGGGACCCCTTGCCAGCTCTATGCCCCAGTTTGGTGATGTTTCCCTTGTGTGTCCCCTGAGACTGGATCTTGTGTCTCAGCTCTCTTTCACCAGCACAGGGAGGTAAGTTAAGTGGCGGGAAGGGGAAGCCACTCTTCAGTGGCCTGTTCTCCGGAACAGCGGGCAGATAGGTCGGAGGCCTGGGTCTTGCCTCCGAAGCTGCCCAGGGAAGGCAGATGTTGGGGACAATGGCTGGGAACCTGGGACCTTCAGGGAATGCATGCACTGGCCCAGCGAATCCCCTTGGGGCACCACGCCCTGTGCTGGACTTTGAAGATACTGAGACAACTAAGACCCATTTTCTGACTTAAGAAGGGAGACCGTCAGACACTGGGGCGAGCAGGGCAGAGGGATCCCCAGGGCTGCACTGTGCTTCTCCCCCTTTGGCTGTGAGCCCCTAATGAGGGAGGGAGCATGGTTTCCTCCTGGGAAGAGCAGGGGACAGCTGCCTTGGCCTGGGCTGAGAGGCTGCAGCTTGCCCCTAGCTCCTGCTAGAAGGGACCACAAAGCCACCGTGCGCCCCGGGAGGCCCAGGCCTTTGTGCCCGCTGCAGTCTGCTCCCTCATGCTGTTGCAGCTAAGCCGACCCAGCGGCCAGGAAGAAGGAGAAACTGATCTCTTTGTATTGCACTTCACAGGGAGTTCAAGGCTCCGAGTGTGCTGGGCTTTTCTCCTCCCCTTTTGGGCTGCTTTAAGTAAACCACAACACAGGGATCCCTGTGCCCCATGCCGGGATCAGAGACAGGGCATTGACCAGCCCGGGGACTCTCCCTCGGATCTCCAAGGGTGAGGCCCACTGAGCCCATTCACCCCTGCTCACTTGCAACTCTCCACACCTGAGCCAACCCACAGGCACTGGGGCTGTGCCCCCACCACACAGCCTCCCTGGGCCTCAGTCTCCTCTTCAATGAAATGGATGACGGCAACATCTACTTCATGAGGTTGTCCCGGGGAAGGGGCAGGCAGTGAATCTGCTTTGGATGCAATCTGTCTTCACCCACCAGGAACATCAAGAGGGCCCCCGAGTCCACTTGTAGAGTCTCACTTGTCTCTTAGTGGGGCGTGGGGGCCCGTGTGCTGGTGTAGTGGGTTAAGCCACTACTTTGAACACCTGCATCTCACATCTGAGTGTCTGCGTTTGAGTCCTGGCTCAGCTTCCAATTCCAGCTTCCTGCTAATATGCACCCTGGGAGGCAGCAGGTGCATCCCTATAAAACACATGGGAAACCTGGGTTGAATTCCTGGTTCTTGGCTCCAGCCTGGCCAGCCTCAGCTATTTTGGGCACTGGGGAATGAACCAATAAATAGAAAAATCTCTTTCTCTCTCTCTGCCTTTCAAATAAATAGGAAAATATTTTTGAATGATCCAAGTATATTATCCATTTTGTTTACCCAGTGTCCATGAGAGATACGTGTTAGCCTCATAATACAGAGAAGTAGTGACAGGGACGGAGTCTTGGCAGAGAGCCAGCAGCCAGGGAGCTGTGGATATCTCACGGAAAAGGAAAGCACATTCACACGTCAACAGCCCGTCACCAGGTGAGTCACTTAATAAATGAACCAGACACCTACTCGTTCTATTTTTGCCTCCTCTGTTTCTTTCACACCCCACATCCCAGCCTGAAACAAGAGTTGTTGGTTCTCATAGCCACAAGAACTGTTGGCTCTCCTTCCCAGTGCTGGTCTCTGGCCTCTACACTCTTGCTCATTCTGCCGCCCTCACTGCATGTCTGGCCTGGCCTCCTACCTGGGCTCCCTCCTAGTTCACATTCCAGTCAACCCTGCTGCTCCAGAGCCATCCTCCTCTTGAAAGCCAGTATGATAGTTAGACAAATCAATACAGTTATATCACTTTTCCTCTTAGAACTTTCTAGAAAGTTCTATTACTAGCAAACTCCCAATTCTTCTGTGGCCTCTGCACAAAGTGGCTCCCGCCCTTATGCACCTGTCTTGCATGTCCCAGCCACTCAACACCTTGTGGCCCCTCCAACACTCCAAACTCTTGCAATTCAAGGCCTTTGCTGTTGTTCTTTCCATCACTAGAGAGAGAGATACAAATCCCAGATCCTCTTAGGCTCCTGCTCTCTGGCCTCTGTTTCCAGCGGCTGCCTTGAGCCTGCTAACACCTCTCCACCTCCACTAACTCCACACAGGTATCCTTAACTAAGCTTTTGCTTCAAAATAAAATGGAAGCATTTTATTAATAGAATAACTTCCGAGGCTGATGCGGAAGCCGCCAGAGGGGGGTCTGGTGTGATTCACCCGGGTGGACTCAAAGGTCACCTCATTCATGTCTGTCTCAGCCTATCTTAAGGAGACAACCAGGGGCTGGCACTGTGGCAAAGCGGGTAAAGCCTTAGTCTGTGATGCCAGCACCCTAGTTCAAGTCCCGGCTGCTCCATTTCCAATCCAGCTCCCTGCTAATGTGCCTGGGAAAGTAGCGGTGGTGGTGGTGGGGTGACTCAAGTGCTTGGGCCTCTGCACCTACGTGGGAGACCCGTATGAAGCTCCTGGCTCCTGGCTTTGGCCTGGCCGAGCCCTGGCCGATGCCGCCACTTGGGGAGTGAGCCAGCAGATGGAAGACCTCTCTCTGTCTCTCTCCTTCTCTAACTCTACCTTTTAAATAAATAAAAAGCAGCTTCCTCATGGAATCACTCTTGCTGATCCTAAGAGAAAGGTGCATTACTCCTCTTCCCCAAGTGAGGTACAAGGCTCAGAGACACACACTGGCAGACCATGGCATCGCCGGGAACAGAAAATAGAAAAAGTGGTCTTTCTCCTTTGGTTCAAAATAGGCAAAGTCCCAAGAATTTTTGCTATGTTTAGCCTGGATTTAGCACTCCGCCATCCCCATTTCCCCACACACTGCTTCCCCCTTCCCACCTTCATACCTCCCCTGCGTTCTCCCGG